TGGAGAACAGGATGGCCCTGACCTTGCTGGCTTTCTGTAAGTCCTTAAAGAACTGGTTCAGTTCAGTGCCCAGGCCTAGTACCCCAAGTGTGCACAGGGACCTGTTTCTTGGTTATATTAGTGATTACAGATAGTCTTCGTTTAGCAACTGCCTCATACAACGACCATTCACAGTTACAATGGTGATGAAAAAGTAACTTTGCGGCCAATCCTAGCATTTACAACCTTCGCTGGTTTGTAAAGCAAAGGAAAGCTGAAGTAAGATTGTAAGCATAGTCACGATTTTACTTAGTGACTGCTTCGCTTAACGACCAAGTTGCTGGTCCCAATTGCAGTCACTTAACGAGCCATAGCTTTAGCTTTTAGATAAGGAGCCCATGGAATAAAAAATAAATTAAATGTTTTATTTCATGTGCTTCAAATCCACATACCTACTGCAAATTGCAACACCTAGGCAATCTTGGTGATCTTCAGCTAAGCAGAACCTGGTTAGGATCAACCTTGGATGGGAAACCACCAGGAAATCTCAGAGCTGCATCAGACTGAGAAGTTAGGAAAAAAAACAGGAAGAAAGTAGCAGCAAATGTCTTTACTGACTGTTGCCAAGAAAATGACCCCAGGAGTCAGGATTAATTTATGAGGGTCTTTACTTAAAATCCACTTCTTAGCTATTGTTAGAAGTCTGTCTTCATCTCAAAAGCTTTCTGAAATTGAAGAGAACTTTTTAAAAGTTGAAAGTGAGTTTCAGTGGCTGCCAGCTTGCTTCCCAGTTCAGTACAAGGTGCTGGTTATGACCTTTAATGTCCTACACGGCATGGGGCCAGGTTATTTGAGGAACCGCCTCTTCCCAGTTACACCTGCCCATCCCATCATGTACAGCAGGAGGGGCACGTTACAGGTCCCGTCTGCTAAGAAGTTTCATGTGATGGGACCCAGGAGACAGGCCTTTTCTGACATGGCACCCACCCTTTGGGTCATCATTCCCCACTGAGGTGAGACTGGCCCTGACCCTACTGACCTTCCAGAAGGCCCTTAAAACCTGGTTTTGCCATCGGGCATGGGGATCCCATGGAAGTATGGGGCCCACGAAATGGCTGTCTTGTGTATAAGATTTTGATTGCACTCTCCTGTGTATTCTATTCTAAAGTTTTTAATTGTTTTTAACAGTTTTGCTGTAACTGTTTCGATCACTTTTTGTTTTGCTATTTTAATCGTGTGAGCCACCCAGAGTCACATGAGAGGGGTGGCTATGTAAATTCAACAAATAAATAAACAAGTCTTTACAATGCCTTGGGAGCTACGGGTACAGAAGAGCTCGCAGAAAGCCATTTAGGAAGTTCAGTACAGAGGTGGCATTACAGCCAAGCGAGATGCTTCCCAAATGCCAAGGGGCCACCCAGACTGGGAGACAAGATTTGAGTGTACCAAGGCAACGTTTTTATGCTTGTTCAAGAATCCTATCTCCCTGCACCCATCCTGGAAAGAGGATTCAGGGCAGTTTCTCTTCAGCTGGTACTTTGAAGGATTTATACAAGGTGCTTAAATCATCTATTAGGAATGCTAATTGCAGAAAAGGGGGGTTAAGGGGTCAAGGGAGCCTCGGTTCAAATCCCCGCCAGACCATGGGCTTCACGGGGTGATCTTCACAGAATCAGGCAGCATATAAATTTATATTATTATTATGGTTGGTCACACAGCCAGCCAGATGTTTAGACTGGATTTGGCATTTTTGTCCATCTATTGAGTCCTTTCCAAGGAACTGGGAGAGGTAGATGTTGTTTAATAATTTTAAAGGTACCGTCGCAGGATGTAAGCTGTTCCAAGTAAAGCTGCCTTTTGTAATTGAGCAATGATGATGATGATGATGATGATGATGATGATGATGATGATCTTGGACCTGTTAATTTTGCCCAGCCCAGCCTACCTCACAGGGTTGTTATGAGGATACCATGTACTGTGTACCCTGCTTTGGGCTCTTTCTAAGGCTGACAGAGGATTAAATAAATTAGTAATACATAAATGCAACAGGCTAAACCTTACAACAGGCCGGCGAGGTAGGTCAGCATTCCTGCCTCCATGTCCTGCCTGCCTAAAGGGTAGCACAGGGCGGAGGTGACACATGCTTGTAGCCACCAAGCGACAACAGTCCAATTTCCACGGCGCAAAATTTATTCCTTCTCTCCCCTCGAGATCACTCACACGCGGCGACGGGGTGAGTACTTTACACATGCTCAGACGCTCCATCTCCCTCCCCTCGCCCAGGCAGAAGAGCCCCCTCCCCTTTGTCTGCTCTCTTCCTCTGAGAGGAGGGGGCTGCCCGGCACGTGCAATTAACGCCCTCCTTCGCCGCCGCCTGCGCGGACTTTCTGCCGCGCCCACCCTCCCCAGCCGAAACAACGGAAGCTCGGCGGAGGCGGCCCCTTTAAGAGCGGCGGGGCCGCCCTCTGGCGGTCTGCGGCGGCAGTGCAGGTGCAGGTGCAGGATCCCGCTCCTCCAGGTGCGGCCGCTCCGTCTGCTCCGTCCACATCATGGAGCGCGATCGGGGCCCGCGGGCCTCGGCGGCAGA